GAAGGGGCGGGACTGCAGGCTGCGCGCAGCGAGGTCCGGAGTCGGAACTCGGCGCGGGCGGCAGCTGGGAGCGCGGCGCCGGGATGCTGCGAGCGGGACCACCCACCGGGGACTTGCCCCGGGCCGGAGAAGTCCACACTGGGGTAATGGGCCTGGGCTTGAGGGTTAGCAGAAGGGGGGAGGTGGTGGAGCGCCTTGGGGGGCTCTGGAAGCACCAAAGTGAATGCGGAGACCAAGAGTGGGGAGGTGGCGTGTGCCCAGTGCCCGTCCCCGCGGTGGATACACAGCGTTTCCATTCTGAAGGGGACTGTCTAGGGCCCGTGAAGGGGCTGCGCCCGCGAGGCTGGTGGAAAAGGGGGTGCTTCGGCTCTTAGCTGGAAGCGCAAGGGGAAGCTGCTCTAAAGAGCTTTCGCTTTCACTCTGGGCTAGAGAGGGGGGCTGGTTAAATCAAGGACGGGTTTGGGAAGGGCGCAGAGTTGAGGAAATGGTGCCCTGGGTGAAATAGGACAGCATTTGGGAGAGGAGAACGTGCACTGATTGAGGAGGGCCAGCTCATCACTCAGACTTTCCAGGAATTGGCACCTGGTAACCATGGCACGCACTGACAGCGGGTCGCATGTGCCCGGCCGTGCCCCTCCCCAGCTTGGCCCAGGGCGCGGGCTGCCGGCCCCCGTCCCTGCCCGCTCCCAGGCACGTGCTGGGGGACTTTGCCCCTGGGGTAAGGCAGCCCAAGACTGGCCGGCTTCGGATCCCAGGCCACTGCACCCCCCTGGGCTGGGGGCACTTTGTTACGGAGGAGTAACTTGAGGATGCGGTTGCCGCCGTCCTCTGGCCCTGATTCGTGGTAATCAGTGTGCAGAAAGGCGCCCAGGCCGCATCCCCGGGGCCAGGGCCGTGAGAAGGAGCAGTAAAACCTCTTAAAGCTAGGAAATCTCCCCTCGCTGCCACACCAGCCGCAAAAGGCAGGAGGTGGAAGCTGAAGAGGGGATGGCAGTTAGACCTGGACTTTAGTCTCCAGTGTGCTAATAGCTGTGTGACCTCGGAGAAGTCACTCACTTTCCCTACGACTCAGTTTCTCATTTGAACCAGGGATCTTTAAGGCTTTTCCAAACTCAACAGAAGTAGAAAAAGTGTAGCCTTAAGCTCTTCACTCTTCCTTGATTTCTTTTCCTGACCTGGAAAGGTCAGCTCAAGCTCTCCAGTCAAGTCCTCGCTTGGTACAGATCTCTCCTCCTGACTCCTAAGATATCTCCTTACCTCTTGATCAGAAATCCTTAAATGAAACCTCTCTTTTAACCCGTCTTGTGTTCCTTGCAGCTTTCCTCCTTCCTTGAGAGTGGCCCTGCTGACCACGGCCCCCCTCAATGCTTCCCTGTGAAAGAGCTCGCTTCTGATTAAGGAGGTGTCGGGTGGAGGATTCTGGGCTCAAAAAGGACCTGAGCTTGTTTTCCAAGGTCGGGGTAACTTGCTGTGTCAGGTCTGTACCACACCTGCACACATGAGCACATGTGATGGAGCCTGCAGTTCCCTTGTGGGGCTGTCTCGCTGGTGCTTGGAAGGGCCCCCTGAGCCAAACGCCTCCCTCTCAGAGCCTCATCTCCCTCCTCTCCCGAAGTGAAAAGGGCTCCACACAGAAGGCTGGGCTTCCGCTGCAGTCCCCCGTGTTGTACCATGGCCAAGCTGTGGCATCCTCTTGCAGCCAGGAGAGACAGTAGAGAAAAATGGAAAGATGGAGAAAACTCCCCTTCTGGGAGTCAGCGCTGGCCTGAATTTCTGTGTGACCTTGAGCCAGCCCCTGCCCGTCTCTGGGAATGTTTCCTCTCCTCTGATGCGAGAGGGTCGAGGCTCTTCCTGTGCTGACATTCCCCCTCTCTCTGCAGACAACCATCATGGCAGTAGAGTTTGATGGGGGCGTTGTGATGGGCTCTGATTCCAGGGTGTCCGCAGGGTAAGTACCAGTGGAGGTATATGCTTTGGAAGGGAGCCAGTGGCCCCCAAGACGCAATTTTCTTACCCACTCGTGAAGCTCTGGTGAACCGGAGCTTTGCAGAAATGGAGCTGGCTTTCAGAAAGGTCACTGTAATTAGGTATTGGGTGGGCACTTGTGTCTCTGAATTCATGGAGGACCGGGGCCTGGGTGTTCCTTGCCTTTCCTGCAAGGAGCAGGGTCTGAAAAGGGGGTGTGGCTAGAGATTTGAGAGGCCTCCTTCCATCTATATTTAGAGGTAGAAAAGACGGGTCTGTCAAGCAGGCATCCTCCTTTCTCATCTATCACATATTAAACTAATTTTGTCTTCTCCTCCTGGCCAGTTTCCTCACAGGCAGAATGAATGTATGGGACCAGGTCAATATTGCTTTATGTCCCATAGAACACATAACTTCTTCAAAATGGTTAATAGCAAAGAAAAATTGATAAGAGTAACATCATTCTTAGCTTAGTATTTTTTTAATTTTATTATAAAATCTAAACCTGAAAATAAGTCTAATTTGGATTACTTGCAGTGTTTCATTTAGCTGAGGTGATTTTTGCTTCCTGCTTTAATCCAAGCATTAAATTTCATGCAGTCCATAGCTGTTCTCTTGTCAAATAAGTTTGAGAAACACTGGACGATTAACCTCAAGAACTCCTGCAACTCTAGTGCTGATGACTGCTGACTTCTTCCCCACAGAGAGGCTGTGGTGAACCGCGTGTTTGACAAGCTGTCCCCCTTACACCATCGCATCTACTGTGCCCTCTCTGGTTCGGCTGCTGATGCCCAGGCCGTGGCCGACATGGCTGCCTACCAGCTGGAGCTCCATGGGTAGGAAGCTTTGGGGTCCTCACGCTACAACCAGTGAACCCCCATACAGTGCCTTGTCCCAGGAGCACTGCAGTGGAAAACAAAAAACCTGGTTTTGACTCCTGCTTTTATTAGCTTTTACCCAGCACTTGAATCTCTCCAAGCTGGTTTGCACATCTGTAAATCGGAGATAGTAGCACCTACCCTACCTCACCAGATGGTTGTTTTGAGAATCAAATGAAGGCAGTTTGAGAACTGCAAATCACTATCCTAATATAAATAACGAGGAAGAAAATGATGTTGCCCACGTATCCTATGGGGAGCCAAGGTCGTTGGGCCGAAGTAAGGCTTATCTGCTTTTACCAACAAAGGCAGGGCTCTTGCAGCCCAGAGTTATAGCACTGGGGAGTGGCGGGAGGGACAGAGTAAAGGAGGGCACGATTGCTTGCGACTGAAATCTTCTTACCCATGGGAGGTGTGAGACTTGGCTTCCTTGTGCACTTGGGAGGGGAGCTGCAGTTTGACCTATTGGAGCTACAGGTTGCAAGCGTCACTTGGCAGGGATAATGGTAAGGGCAAAGGAGGGTACAGCTTCAGGAGATTATATGGACCCCTCCCTCCTAACGTTTCCTTCAGGATGGAACTGGAAGAACCTCCCCTCGTTCTGGCTGCTGCAAACGTGGTGAGAAATATTAGCTATAAATATCGGGAGGAACTGTCTGCACATCTCATGGTAGCCGGCTGGGACCATCGTGAAGGGGGCCAGGTGAGTCTCTCCCAATGCACTCCCTCCCTTGGTGTTCCCTGGTCCCCTCAAGGTGGAGTTAGTGGTCCTATGTCCTTCTAGCAGTGAGTTCCAAAGACACTGCCCCTGAAAGCATAGGACAGTCTCCACCAACAGGGACAGGGGATACGGGGCTTCACTGCAGAGCGTGGAGACCACCTGCTTGTCTGGGTGGCAAGTAGAGGATGGGTGCTTCTCTAGTCTGACTTGAGGATGCCTCCCCCAGGTGTATGGAACACTGGGGGGAATGCTGACTCGACAGCCCTTTGCCATTGGTGGCTCTGGCAGCACCTACATCTACGGTTATGTGGACGCAGCATATAAACCGGGCATGTCCCCCGAGGAGTGCAGGCGCTTCACCACGGAGGGTAATTAGCCAAGTGCAAAGGTGCTGGGAGGGCTTTTAACATGGGAAGGTTGTGAAGAGGGGGAACAGAAAGTGGACTACGTGGGTGACCATCTAGTTTAATGCCCAAACTGGGACATTTTTGAGAGTGAAAGGGGGCAGGACAAATGCTAAACTAGATGGGACTTCAGGACAAAAGGCATAAACCAGGACTGTTCTGAGTACAGAAAACTAAGAAATGTGGCTACAGTAAGAACCAGTGGTGCCTGGTGCTGGCTCGGGGCTAGCTCCTGAGCGCCAACTGTTAAATATTCAAGGATTTGGGAGTTGCTGGTTAAGCTATTTATAACTTAAAATGAATCATGGCAGGAGTATTGAGACCATGTACATTTGGAGATGTTCCATATAAAGGTTTTCTACTTTTAAGTTGGTTTATTAGCACATCACTAACTATGCCCCTCTAGGAGATGGGCTTTGAGGTTGGAAGGTGGTAGCAGGCTTATGGACAGGAGGGGAAGGAAATGGTTTTTGAAGGTAAGTGATTCTCTCTCTCCCTCTCTCTCTCCAACTTGAACCCTCTGCAGCTATCGCTCTGGCCATGAGCCGGGACGGCTCGAGTGGGGGTGTCATCTACCTGGTCACTATTACAGCTGCTGGTGTGGACCATCGAGTGATCTTGGGCAATGAGCTGCCCAAATTCTATGACGAGTGAATCTTCCTCAGACATTCCTCCTTATTTTGTAATAAACTCTCTGAGGCCAGACCCGGCATGGTCAATGGGACGTGGTGCTGAGAGAGGTGAAGCTTAGGGGAGGGCGCCTTCCTCCTCCCTCCCAGGCGTCAGCATACCCTTTTTATCCTTTCGCCCCAAAGTCTAAAACAGGGAAGGAGGGTGGGGAGTGTGCATCACAGATCATCACGTACTGAGTGATTCTGAAATACTAGAAACAATAATTCATTCTGACTCCCCAGGGATGAGGGTGGAAGTTGAGTCGGGACTCATCTCTTTAAGGCACGATTTTCAACCTGTGTGAGGCGGCACAGCAATGAGCCATGAGAATGTGTAAGACATGACCCCTTCTCCCTCAAATTGTCAAGTTAAAAAAGTGACAACAGCCAACACAACAATGGCTGTCCAGTGTGAATGAATAAAAATTATACCTTTTTTTTTTTTTCTGTCAGGTGGAGGAAAATGTAATATATTTTTTGGTGTGCAGCAGGATTTTAGTAGTTAGTTTGTGTGCCATGAGATGAAAAAGGTTGAAAATCGCTGGCTAAGACTGACAGCTAAGACAGTGACATGCAAGTTCGCTAAGAGCACCAGCAAACTCGCCTGTAAAAGAATGCCTTTTATAATGCTTTCATTTGCACTAGAGGTCAATACATGATAAATGTTAACATTTTTTAAAGCATTTCAACGGGGGCACTTGTGAATTTCAAAGAATAATAACTAAAAAAAAAAGCTATATTTATTAAACCAGGCATTCTCTAAATGCTCATGAACTTCATCTCTTAGAATCCGAACAAAAAAAAACTGCGTAGTGTCAACCAATGTTCGATGGCTATTGGCACCAATTCAGTGCTAACAAGAATTCCCAATTTGGGATGTGGTGAAAAAGGAAACTTTATTCAGTGCAAACAGCTCAATGATGGTACAGCACAGCTGTGAAACAGCCCAGCTGTGGAACAGCTCAGTTGATATGCAGCACAGCTGTGAGGCTGCCTTGGGGCCAGGTGGGCAGCCCAGCCCAGCCCAGCCCAGCCCAGCCCAGCCCAGCGCAGCCCAGCCCAGCTCAGCTCAGCCCAACTCTGGTCTGGTCTTTTCTTTTCTGCTCCACTCTGCACCAATATGCTCTGGGGAAACACAGTCTTCAGTCTTCAGTGAAAAGGGGAGCTGGCCTATATGGACAGAAGTCCCAGCCCCTGGTTCCTAATTGGTCCATCTTCATAAAAAATGAGGACTCCAAATCCTCAAAGTTTGAATAGTCCAAAAGACACTGTCCTGATTAGTCAGAATAGAGCCACTCTGATCGGTTGGAGCTGGGCAGCTCCAATTGGATGGGGGAAGCCTCAGTCCTCTTGGTTGAAATAGGAGTCCAGGAGCTCCTTTATAAGGCCTGCCAGCGGGCAGACACAGTGCAGGCGGGCAGTTCAATGCAGGCCTCTCCCTGAAGTGCAGTTTGTGTGAGGAGCTGTGCAGAAATGGCTGCTAGGCATTGCTTTTTTTTTTTAAATTAATCTTTATTGTTGAAAGCATTACAGATGTTCCTCTCCTTACTTTAAATTTGAGCCCAGTTAGCCACCAGGAGTCCTTCTTAGTAGGTGTCCAGGGTTCACACTAGGTACTACTCCTACTTCTGTTTAAGTACAGATGGAGGCTTAGAAAGAGTAAGTCACTTGACCAAAGTCACAGCAAGTTAAAAAGCTGAAAGCTGGCCTGGCTGGTGTGGCTCAGTGGTTGAGCTTCGACCCAGGAACTGACAGGTCACTAGTTGGATTCCGGTCAGGGCACATGCCCAGGTTGTGGGTTGTGGGCTGTGGGCTCGATCCCCAGTGGAGAGCGTGGAGGAGGCAGCTGATCGATGATGTTTCTCTCTCATCGATGTTTCTCTCTCTCTATCCCTCTCCCTTCCTCTCCCTAAAAATCAATAAAAACATAAAAAAAACAAAAAAAAAAAGCTGAAATCTGGGATTCAGTTTTACCATGTGCCCTTCCTCTGCCACTACATCGAGCTTTCCATTACCTCACGCTTCATAGAGCACCTCCTCCTGGAAATCTGCAATAATTAACCAANAAATCTGGGATTTAGTTTTACCATGTGCCCTTCCTCTGCCACTACATCGAGCTTTCCATTATCTCACGCTTCATAGAGCACCTCCTCCTGGAAATCTGCAATAATTAACCAACATTAGTTGCCACTTAGGGCCCTGTACCAGATGCCTAAGTGACTGTTAAACAAGCCAGTCCTGGTCCTATCTTTGCCGTTAGCTTCCTGAGGGACAGGACACATTATTTCCCACTGGGAGCCCTCATTTCCTCTCCTGTCAGATGAAGGTGTTGAGTGACTCCCACGGTGGCTTACAGCTTTGACATTCAGTGCCAGTTTGCTAATAAGTGAGCAGTGGAGAGAGATATTAAGAGAAACCCTCGTAGGCTCCCCAGGGAGCGTCTGTCTGCTTTTCTTTCTGGATCTCAGGTTAAAATACAAATTCGAAGTACCCTAAAAACAGCCCTATGCCCTTGGGGGGTGGATCTAAAATTACTAGAGCCTTGAGTTCTCTCTACCATGATATTTATTTTGAAGTTTAAAATAATCGTTGAAGAGCCTACCTCGCCTGCTGATCACAACTAGAAACTGGAGAGTAGAGAAAGGCAATCACTAAAGGACTCTGAAGGAGTCAGAACATAGAGAGGCAACCTCCCCTGTGGTTTCAGTTGTCTTTCTTTTCCTCTCATGGCTTTGCCCTGAAGTCAGGCCTCGGGCCTCAGGCCTCAGTGAGAGCCAGGAGCTGCCCCAGGTTCTGGCCTGAAGAACCGAGGAAGGGGACTCCTGTGTGGGAGAGTGTAGGAAACCTCCCAACTGAGAGGCAGAGATGGGGACTCCCTCATTCTAGACGTGAATCTCATGAGCACTGGTCACCCCTGAACTGCGCAGGCCTGTGACACGCCTGAAACAGCACAATAAAGACTTAACCTTTTAAAATTAGAAAGCTATACTTTTCTTTATTGGCCCAAAATCATGTCCTTCCTTATGCCTCTTATTCCAAAAAAGGCTTATAGCAGCTTACAGGGACAGACATAATTTAAAAAGAAGAAAGAGAAGAAGAAATTGGAGCAAAGAGAAAATAAAATTTAGAAACAACTAAAGCCAAAGGGACCCGTAAATAGTCACAGTGGCATTGCACAAAATGCAGAGAAACCAAGAAGGGGAGGGTTGATGTAGTAAATATGATGTTAACAAGTTAATTTTATCAAAAGTATTATTACTAAAAAAAATTAAGTGAAGCCAAGGGGAAAGAGCAATTACAACATGGATGTCTCAAGGAGAAAGAGAGGCGTTCCGGAGCCGTCCGACACGAGCAGCTCGTAACGTCCGGGAGTTTTGAGAGGCGGGCGTTAAGAGGCAGCTGGACCTTGGCCGCGCAGAAGCGTCTATGCCACAGAATCCAGCGCTGCTAACAGTCAGAGCTTCCCCAGAGAGCCAGCCTACCGGGCACTCAGCCGCTGTTCATGGGTAGGAGCCACCTGGCTGAGCTACAGGGTAGTGAAACCAAAGAAGGAAATGAAAGTAGGTGCGAGATTCATTAATAAATGAAAAGCCATAAAAAAACAAACATTTTCAAGTCATAGAACATTTACTGAAATAGAGTATACACTATGCCATAAAGAAAACACCATTAAACTCCAAAGTATTAATATCTTTGACACTATCTATGCTCTATGGCCAGACTGTAATGATACCGAAAGTTCTCATGGTTTGCAAACTAAGAAAAAACTGATAAATTAATGGATTTAAAAAGCAGTAATAAAGGAAATTAAATAATTTAGAAAAAGGTGGTAAATTTTTTGATATGTAACAGTTAAACACAGTTAAAACAGTATTCAGAAAGAATTGTATAGCTTCAGGTGCATTTATTAAAACAAGAAAAGTTAAAAATAAATAACATAAAAATTCTCCTAAAAACTCTGGAAAAAAGGCATTTGAGCAAACCTAAAGAAATAAGAAGGAAATTATAAACACAAGAATAGAAAGCAATTTAATAGAGAACAAAACTATGTAGTAAAGATTCACAAAACCCAAACTTGCTTCTTTAAAAAACTACCTGTGAGATATTCAGACTGATCATGAACAAAGGGGCGAAAGGAATGAGTAAACAGAATTCAGAATGAAGAGGAGGGAACAGCTACAGATATAAGAGAGACATGAAAATAAAGGGTTTTATGAATGAGTATATGCTAATAAATTTGAAAACCTCTATGAGATAAATTCCTAGAAAAATTTAAGCTACCAAAATTAGCAAGAAAAAATACAAAATTTGACTATGCCAATAAATATTGAAGAAATAGAAAATATTGCCAAAGGCCTCTGATGAAAATAACTTTAAAAAAAAAAAATGCACAGCCCTCCCCTAGCTGGTTTGGCTCAGCGGTTAGAGTGTCAGCCCATGGACTAAAGGGTCCCAGGTTCAATTCTGGCCAAGGGCACATACCTTGGTTGCAGGCTCAGTCCCCTGCCCCGGTCAGGACACATGCAGGAGGCAATCACATCAATGTCTCTCACATCAATGTTTCTCTCTCTTCTCTCTCCCTTCCACTCTCTCTGAGAAAGCAATGGAAAAATTATCCTCAGGTAAGGATTAAAAATAAATAAATATTAAATTAAATTAAATTAATAAAAATGCCCAGCCCTGGCCAGTGTGGCCCAGTTGGCTGGAGCATCANGATCCATCTGTCTCTCACATCAATGTTTCTCTCTCTTCTCTCTCCCTTCCACTCCCTCTGAAAAAGCAATGGAAAAAAATATCCTCAGGTAAGGATTAAAAATAATTAATTAATTAATTAATTAATTAATTAATTAATTAATTTAATAAATAAAAATGCCCAGCCCTGGCCAGTGTGGCCCAGTTGGCTGGAGCATCATGCCATGCACCAAAAGGTAGCCGGTTTGACTGACGGTCAGGGTACATACCTAGGTTGCAGTTCAAAGGCCAGTCAGTCAGTTGGGGTTTGTGCAGGAGGCAGCTGATCAATGACCCTCTCAT